CTAAGGAGCTGTTGAGCTTTATGAAGCTCTTTGCAGATATGGGATGAAAATCCATTAAAATGTTAGTAATCACTGTCCCCCAGATACCTATAACATAGAGGCAAAATCGTGACTGCAAATGAAAGGTATAATGTGACATGTTCCCTGGGAAGTACAGGGCAGGATAATTGGAGGTTTAGCAGAGAAGTAAATCMTGTTCCATTGGCTTTCTGTTAGAGAGGCTAGGAACTAGCTTATAAATATGTGAAAGATATGGGCGGTGGTATAGTGAGGAGGTGTTCCTGGAGAAGCATGACTAGAGACCTGGTGTTTGAGCTTCCGTTTCATTCTYGGCTTCTGACAGCTTGTCATTCATCATTATATTTGAAGGCTCAGCTTGTCCAGGCCAGTCTGAACAAGAGAAARGAAGCTTGGTTTTTCTCTTTCAGATCTGAAGGTGTCCATGATCTTCCTGGGATCCTATGATACCCCAGAAGCCATGACTCCTTCGCTTTGGATTTTGCTTCCCTGCTTATCTGACTGCCCCAAATCTGGAGACTGCCTGCTCTCCAGTCTGATACCTGTGACCTTGCTGTTCCAAGAATACACACATGGATGCCATTTCCTGTCATCCCTACTGAACCCCACCCATTGTGCGCTCTCTTGACCCTATGCCGTTAACTGCTCTGGTAGCTCTGAGATGCAGCCCACCTTCCAGTCCTGTTCTCTCAAAATGCCTCAAGACCTATCCAAAGTTAAAATTGTTGAAATCAATTTGGTTGCACCTGATTGACAGGGAAGGACATCAACACTCACAGGATAAAATCTCCATCAGGAGAGAAAGAGATGGATTTGGGGGCTGATTGTGGTAAGTAATGATGCTCTGAGTCTATGTGACAGATATTTTTCATTTGCCCTTTGACCACCCTGACTTCAGCCCCAGGAGATTTATCTATGGGAAAAAAATATAAGACCTCAGCAGGCTTTCTTGCTTCTCACTTCTCCTTGATTTTGGCAAATGAAAAGCTCCAGCAGGAAATAAGAGGAAGGACATGGGAAGGAGGTCTGGACATTTATTTCTCTTGCTCATTTCCTGCAGTGTTACCTAGGACTGAATATGTTGCTAGACTGAAGGGCATAGTTCCTTTTAAGATAGTATTATCTGTTCGACTGTCTCTGTAAGTTTTTCATAGCTGTCCTTTCTCTCATGGTTGTAGGCATAAAGGTAGTAACATTCCACTTAGTAGGTTCAAGTTACTTCACTATCCCTTATGGGTCCTTTTTTATGCATTTCTTATAAAATATTCTTTATTAAGATCTCAAATTATTCTAATCTGAAAGCACCATCTCTTTCCTATTGTGATCCTTTTTGATACATCTCTTTTTTTTAATATTTTAAGAAAGTTCTTTATTTTCTCTTTCTTACATGTTTTAGTTCATATCAGTACCTGGAAGAAAAGAACTAAATATTTTGGCCTCTTTTTAAAAACTTTTATTTTGTGATGCCAGGGATTGAACCCAGTGCCTCATGCATGCTAGGCAAGCACTCTACCACTACCCACAACCCCAGCCCTGTTTTGGTCTTATTTTTTGAAGCAGATCTTTTTCTTTTATGAAGATTGTTACTGAAAGATTTTTTTTTTCACTGAATTACAATCTAATAGTATTCTTTTAGGTTTTTGTGTAAACTTTTTTTTTTATTGATTGTTCAAAACATTACAGAGCTCATGATATATCATCTTTCAGACATTTGACTCAATTGGGTTTTGAACTCCCATTTCTACCCCAAATACAGATTGCAGAATCACATCTGTTACATACTCACATTTTTACATAATGGCATATTAGTGACTGTTGTATTCTGCTACCTTTCCTATCCCCTACTATCCCCCCTCCCCTCCCCTCCCCTCCCGTCTTCCCCCTCTACCTCCTCTGCTGTTGTTCAAATCTCTCCCTTTTTCCCCCTCCCCCTTGCCCCTCATAACCTCTTATAATTTTGTGATACATCTCTTTGACAGTGGACTCTAGAATCTGTCCTAACCCAGCCATCTTTGTGCCAGGCTTATGGCCTGTAAAAGTGTTTGAAGGACTAGTTTGAGGGAATTGTAACATTGGAAGCTCAAGTTTTGCCATGGGACAACCTTGTCCAAGTATGATGCAGAGAGAGGAATTATCCTCCCTTGCCTTTGAGGAACAGGGTTTTCTGGGTAAGAATTTCCACCAGCCACACTGGCAGCAATGGGAAGCAAATTTTGGCCCCAACCATGTGGCTTCAGATGTACCTGACCATGATGGTATATACCATCCTCTACCTATAATCTGTTGTTGCATGTCGAATGTTCCTAAAGCAGGGTGGCTTAAACAATAGCAATTTTATTACCTTTCATTGTGCTGTAGGATTGTTCTGAGCTCAGCAAGAAGGTTCTTGTCTGTGATCTATCATGCAATTGCAATCAGATGGTAGTGGAGCTGGGGTCTTCTGAAATAGGAATAAGTTAGATTATTTCTACTTCAAGTGGCTTCTTCATTCTTATTCCAGAAAGTTGGTGCTGGCTATTAAATAGGAGCAGAACTGAAGCTATTAACCAGGGGCTTGATTTTCTTCCATAGGGAATAATTCTGTATCTTGGACTTCATAGAGTAGTTGGAATTCTAACATGAAGTCTAGATTCCCCCCAAATTCATTTTCTAAGGGGACCCGATGGAAGTTGCATCATTTATTCTAACTGTGCAAGTCATACAGTAACACTTTGGCCACATTCATTTGTCTAAAGTTAGTCTAGGTGTGCCTAAATTTAAGGAGAGGGAGTGAATATCTAGTACCAAGTATTGTTGGGAGACCATGTTTGGAGACTAACAACCATCCTGAGCTTAGGGTGATTATTTTGGCATCAGTAGAGGCAGCAACAAGGATTGGAGGTATCTCTTTGGAATATAGAGGTTCTAGTGTAGATAAGACAATAGTCTTGAGAACAAACAAGTGATTCTTCCTTTCATCCACATTTCTGCAGGTTGAAGTCCTTTTGGAAAATCAGAAAAGGGACTGACCTGGGAGACATGTAAATCTGGGGTCTTAAGTGTTATACTTTGGAACACATGGCAGGCAATTAAGGAGGCAAAAKTATCCCAGTTTCATATAAATGAACAAAACAAGGTTCACAATGTTTCAGTTAGTAGTGGATTCAAACCTAGGCCTGACTTCTACCAAAACCTTTTATCTCTAAGCCAGGGGTACATTACTCAACATGTCTACAGTTCAGAGAAGACTAATAAATGTGTCAAACTAAACACAACTGGCAAGAAGCATTTTATATTGCAACTAAGCAGCACCTACCTAAAAAACTACCTTTGAACATGCATGGGGTTAAAACAAAACCCAGACTGAAGGCGGTATTGTAGATGGTGTGAATGGTGCCTGTGGATGGTACAGATGGGGTTCTGCCTTTTCTTCTTATCAGTGGGGCTAGAATTTGCAAAGACTGGGGTTTTCACCACTTTCTTTTATTTAATTTTTAAAATTTTATTTATTCTAATTAGTTATATATGACAGCAGAATGAAATTCAATTCATATTACACAAATGAGCTTAATTTTTCATGTTTCTGGTTGAACACAAAGTAGAGTCATACCATTCGTGTTTTCATACACACACTTAGGATAATGATGTCTGTCTCATTCTGCCATCTTTCCTACCCCCATACCCCACCTTCCCCTCCCTCCCCTTTGCCCTATCTAAAATTCGTCTATTCCTCCCATGCTCCCCACCATTCCATTATCAATCAGCATCCTTATATCAGATGGTTGGATCTAGGTTGGATCCACAGTTTAGCTATTGTGAATTGTGCTGCAATAAACATTGATGTGGCTGTTTCACCACTTTCTTATGGAATGGAACCCAAAGAGATAAGCACTGTGCTCCAACCCCTTCCCTCACCCTCCCCAAAGGCTGCCAATTGACAACCTCTGTACTGGATTCTACTATCACCTCTGCCAGTATATTGCTTCATTTAATCTTCACATTGCCCTATAAAGCAAATATTATTATATCCATTTCACTGATAAGGAACTGATTACAGAGAGAGTATGCAGTTTATGCAAGCACCTGCTTTGCCTACCTGAAAAAAGTGATTGTTAGACATAACAAAAAAATGAATATTAAAATGCGTGTCAAATATACATGGCATTTGTAAAGAGCTAMATGCAAAGCACGCTATTGTGTAATTTTAATTTGTTTAACAAAAATATATCAAAAGGTTTCTATAGGTTATGCACTCTCTCCATGCGGTAATAGGCAATGAATGAACCAGATGACAAATCCTTTCCTGTACAGAGCTGACATTCTATTGAAGTATCCAGACAATAAACTAAATAAATATGTAAATTATATAATATTTAGAAAGTGATAAATGCTGAAGAGAGACAGGAAAAGGGAGATTGGGAGCTATGAAGGGCAGGCACATTTATTAATAAAGTAGTCAGGGAGGGCTTCTGCACAGGAGAGGTCTCCATCCTTCCATGAAAAGTGCAGCCCACCAGACAAATCTGGCAGAGGTCTGTCTTTCCAAGGCCACCAACTAGGAACATATTTTCCCATTTGTAAAGGATTTTCAAATAATAAAGATATGACAGAGACCATATGTAGCCTGCAAAATTTAAAATATTTACTATCTGACCTTTTTTCAGGGAAAGTTTGCAGACTTGGCCCACCATGTATGCCATTGCTTTGACAACCAGCTCTACACAGGTGTAATCTGACAGCATCTGGCCTCAGATGTACTAAACATGCCTTGCTTTCTTCCCCCTGCCTGCCTCCATGGAAGTCCACTTGACACTCACACATGTGCAGCATAGAGATRTGAATTCCTTAACAGCCTTGAGGGCAACCCGTGACAGTGAAGAGTGGGAGTGATGGATGAAAGCCTCCCTGCCTCCCTCTATGCCCTTGCAGATAATTCTGGGTTGCTGTCTATATGCCTCTTCAAAAGGTCCTGGTAGGTTTAAACTCTGTTTCTTTCCCTGTAGTTCTTTGCTGTTGCTGAGAGCTCTTGTTGCAGGCTCTGCTTTGGAGAGGGAGCCCAGGCTGAGACAGGAGTGACTCCAGAAAGCTGACTCTCAGGCTGGATTCCAGAACTGGTTCACTTGCCAATCATCCTTAGCTGGTAGTAGGTATGATAGTGGTAATCCTGGCATTCTGGGGCCTCACAATTGCTGAAACTTTCACTAGTAGTAGATTAGTGGTAGATTAGGAGGAGGTACATGCAGAAGGTAAAGCATTGGATTATTAGCTTAGCTGAGACTCTGAACGGCATGGGGGTAATAGGACTGTTTTTTCTTATTATAAGGATTGTCGAGTTGGATTTGCCTTTTTAAAGAAACTCTGACAAAAGCAAATGATAGACTTTGGTCAGCTAACAATCAAGTCGAAATACGTTATGAAAGTCAAAGGGACTCCATGGCAGCTTTAGGGAGAACCTCAACTCCTGTAGCCTCAGATCAGACTGTAGTGAAAATCAGACCCAGGATTCAAGAGTGGCAGAGCTCCAGAAAAGTCAGAATGTAAAGCTAGCTTCCCTATGTTCACGCATAGTGAACACAGTGAACTCCTCATGGATAGGAGTTCTGATAGGAAGGGAGTAAGAAGCAACACCTTGGAGGGAACATATGGGGTATTGGACTAAGAATCTTGCATTTACAGCTTCCTATCAACACTGAAGGTAATAGAAGCAGCCTCTTTACCCTTTTTAGAAGAAAGCAATCTCCCTTTGATTGGAGCCTGGCAAAATTTTTTCCATAGACAAGTCCCGTGCATGATGATACCTGTACTTCTTAAGATCTGCTCTTCCTGGTGGTCATTGTCCTTAGCCCTCAAACTAGGGACAAGCTGCACCCAAACCCAAATGGAAAAATAATGCTTTCTTCATGAGGAAATAATGTGCTTACAAAAGAACTGCAGGAGCTGGTTAACTAGAGCCAACGTGACCTCTATGGAAAGGGTCTTGGGGAATATTGCATCAGGAGGAAGTAGAATATAAGGGTAGCAGGAGAATTTGTTGATGTGGGAGCACTATCTCATGACTTGGTGATTAATATCCTACCAGGGACAACTGGAGCTGACTTCATTACCCTGCTGGAGTGGCTTCTAAATGAAGACAGCACATAATAAATGACGTGGGGAAGCTCAAACTTCCTTGGCAAAGAACTAAGAAAAGTGCCAGAAGTTCTAAGAAGGTGGGTGTGTTAGAAGGGAGTTATTATGTGGGACTACCAGCAGACTATGTTCTCCCTCAGGGCCCAGAGATACCTGTATCACCTAAGGCATTGCAAGTGGATCATTGGCACCATCAAAAGGCTGAGTGATGAGGGTCCTCTATGGCCTGAGGTTACAGGGAGATGCTGCCATAGATAGGGATCCCTGTAATCAATTGGTCTGATGGGACTCCTTGAAGTTAGAGGCACTTAAGCCTTAGAGGCAAAGATAGATAAACAATGCCTATGATATTGTTTCACTTCCATAATGAGAAAAGAGAAMAATCAAGAGCTGTTGAGCAAGATCAACTACAATTGTCAAAAGGAAAATTATCTCTAAACCCATTTTCCAGGTTTAAGCCAGAACTTATTTAATAAGGAGAAATCCTACCATAACATTTTAATCACATTTGATAAATATTCTACCTATGTATCCCCAAAAGGACCAAGTGACCATTTATGAGTTGAAAATATCCAGACCTTTTGTGATGCTGGGGATTGAACCTAGGGCCTCACACGTGCTAGGCAAGTGCTCTGCCACTGAGTTACACTCCCAGCCTGCAAACCTTTGGAGAACATTTTGATAGGTGAGGGTTGGGGCTGACTCTACTACCAGGAGGTGGGATTTGCCTACAAGAACAACTTGTAGAGGGTCTGAGTATAGAGGCCTGAAAGAGATGAAACAGGCTGATATGTAGGGGAGAGCATTCTAGGCTGAGGACCTGTACATTGCAGAGGGCTGAGGTGAGAATGTCTGGTGTGTTTTAGCCGCAATCTGGAGGCAGACATGGCTGGAGCAGAGTAGGCCTGTTCCTGAGAAGTAGGAGGTGAAGTCAGAGTAGTGAGGGAGGGGGAAATAAAAGGAGTCTTGGGGGTTATGGTAAAAAATTTGTTTTGTCTTGTGTGCAAAATGAGAAGCCAGAGCTGAAAAGTAACTGGATTGACCAATCTTTATAAAAGATCACTCTCATATTAAAAATAGGCTCATGGAAGATGATGGCTTTGGCCTTTATGATAGAAGTAAACTGAACCAACTGAATTTGGCTAATGGATGAGATATGAATTGTTAGAGGAAGAGAGTCTGAAAATGTTTTGTGGCTTAAGCAACTGGAAAGATTAAGTTGCTATTATTTGGGCTAGGAAATACTAGGAGAGGATCAGGTTTAGAGAATCAATAAGCATAAAGTCACTATTTTATCATATATTCATTCTTTCAATTCATCAAATATTAAATGAGTAACTACCAGGCATTGTGTTTGGCTCTGGGAATTATATGGTGATTAAGAACTTGGTCCTCCTAGGCATACATAGTTTAGTAAATACATGTTTTACAGTTAAGTATGATAAATGCTATTGTGATTAGAGGAAGGAACCCTGAGATCAAAATGAAGAAGAGCAAGAGGAGAAGAAAATAATAAGTTCCATGATTTTAGCTGCTATAGTGCACCTGCCTGTCTATTAGCTCCTTTGTTTCATTTAGTATCAGTGAGTCTTCTCTAGACTTCTGTGAGGTAAGTATTATAAGAGTAGTGACTCTGTCTTAATGTTGTAGGAAGCATGGCTTGGTTTTGTAATATGAAGAAAATATCTAGGCTTATGCCAAAAACCTAGTACATATCCCTGTGACACAGGTAAGATAAAGACTTGAAAGTCCTTTTTTTCCCCTCTCCTTAAATTCAAACCTTAGAATGTCACTACTCTCTGATCAGCTACTTGGCAGGAAATCAAAGGAATGAGTGCAAGGTGGCTTTGCCTCTTTCTGTATGGAGGAAGGATCCTCTCGCCCCAGCAAATGAGGGGAAGGTGGAATCATCAGTCTACTTGAGCTTGGAACCCAGAGTCCCCACCATGAACAAGAAGACTCAGTCACTGTGTGCAATTYGGATTAACATTTAGTCTTTCTTGGGAAAAGGAGGAAGGGAAGTGGGCAGAACAGCAGAAAATTTCCTCTTCTCCCGAAGGTAGGATTAGCTCCCTTTTATAGATGAGAGATTCCACAATTCATCCCCGCTCAGCTCAGCAGCGGATCCTAATCCAGGTCTGACTTTTCCTGCTCTGCGGAATTAATGCCAGTGTCCTTTGAAAAGAGAACCTGTGATCAAGTGGAGAGAAAAAGTATGCGGCAGCTTAGAGGCTGTTTTTAGAGGGCGCAGGCATTCCCAGGGGAGCAGACAGTGCCAGGACAAATGAAATTTATGGGTCATGTGGCTCAGAGGTTGGGCTTGCCAGATTTCAGCTCTTTCTGAGAAGCATTTCAGACAAGAAAACAAACTTAGATGGGTGAAGGGTTACCCAGACTTCTGACCCCTCTAAAATGTCTTCATGTGATTCTTCCTCAGTTTCAATCCACCATCTTTTTAAAACACTAGTTTTATAAAACTACTAAAGTAATTTTACTTTGTTATAAAAGTGAGGCCATCTATAACATCATAAAACATAAAATTTTGTTCAGAAGAATATAAAAATTACTCATGGTACCATGATTTAAAGATATCACAGTKATTTTATTGGTATATTGCCTTCCAGATTAAAAAAAAATATGTCTATGTTTGCAAATGTGACATGTTGTTCCATTTCTCCTTTGTCTAGTACATTCCAAGTTTCAGGTAATAGAGGATGGTCTTGGGCAATGCTAATCCAGAAAGAGACTCACAATGCGAACACTCTTTTCATTTTGTCTTCCTCACCTGCAGAGTCCCTGTTGAGTGTCTTGCATGTCTAGAATGAGACTTTGAGCCTGTTGAAAAGTTGGAGAACAATTGAATAGAGAATCGATGCCAACTCTGRAATCTCCAAGACTACGGAGTCTGTTTGGTTTGAAATATGGGATTTGGAACCCACAGTAAAGTTTTGCCCATTCTTATGGTCTTTGTGTATGTTCTCAATGCACTAAAGCAGGACTCAGCAAGCCTTTCCTGTAAAGGGTCATATAGTCAATATATCAGGCTTTGAACGAACCATAACAACCACTCCACCTGTCAATGTTGCACAAAGCAAACACAGGGAATGCACAAATGAACAGGCATGGCTACATTCCAGTAAAGCAAATTTATTTTTATGAAAGAGATGGGAAGCAGGAATAGGCTGAAGRGCCATAGTTTGCTAATGGAATTTACCTGATAATGGAAGAATATTTGGGAAGAAATTGTAGTATATTTCCCCCCCTTGCTGAAGGCAGAATACCCCCCCTCGAAACATGCACACATACATGCACACTCACACACACATGCACAATTACACACCTGAAGTGACACCATAGATTTAGTTTTTAAAACAATGGTAAAATATGCATGCCAAAATTTATCATTTTAACCATTTTAAGTGTACAGTTCAATAGTGTTGAGTATGTTCATGTTGTGCAATTATCACCACCATCCATCTCTAGAACTTGATTCATCTTAAAAACCTGAAGTTCTAGGTTCACAAAACAATAACTACCCCAGCGCCTAGCAACCACCATTCTCCTCTGTCTGTGAACTTGACTACCATAGATACCTCATATAAATGAAATCATATARGTGGAATCATATAATATTTGCCCTTTCTTTTACCTTTATTTTTATTTATTTATTTTTATGTGGTGCTGAGGATTGAACTCAGTGCCTCACAAGTGTAAGAGGCAAGCACTCTACCACTGAGCTCCAACCTCCAACCCAATATTTGCCCCTTTTGATAGGCTTATTTCAATTAGCATAATGTCTTAAAGGTTCATTTATTTATAGCATGTGTCATACCATAGATTCAATTTTATAATTTCTTAGAACATAGCAATATTTCATCTGTATCTATGTCTTTAAAAAACTTCTGGCAAATACAATTTTTAAAGCCTGCATAATATTCCATTGACTTTGACTGACTGAAGAGGGATTCATTAGAAACCAAAACAACCTCTAACTGGGAGGAGAGCCTGTTGCTTTCTAATGACAAAAAATTAGACTAGGGACCAATACACTAGCAAAAACTACCCAGTTATGAATGAGCTGGGCCCTGGCTGCCCAAGAAATATGCTCTCTGTAAGTGTGGGCCCAAAAGAGGCAATAAAATCCACTTGGGAAAGACTAATTGCAGAGCAAGCAAAATAAGAGAAGGTTACATTGTGACCTACAGGGCCAGGAGAGCTCTCAGTGAACTTCACAGTAAGTAATCTGGCTTTGTTGTGTGCATTCTCATTCTCTCTCTCTCTCTCTCTCTCTCTCTCTCTCTCTCTCTCTCTCTGTCTTTAACCCTGATGAACTTGACAGGCAGAACGAACACATCCATCAGATAGATGATTCATATTTATAAACATTCTCCTTTTCTGGACATTTAGGTTATTCCCAATGTTTTGCTATTAGAAGCAATGCTCCAATAAGCATCTTTGTACATAGTATTTCTCTACATAGGTCAGCTTAAATTTATTTTATCTTCACCAGTAAATTTATCATGGCTATGAAATTTTTTATCCTTTGGCGCCTAAGAAGCTTGAGGATCTAAGATGACTTAGCTGCTAAAAACGTTAATTAACTGGTCTTAAGGGGAACTGGTAAGGGCTGACAAGAAACAAAATCTCTGGTCCTTCTTTTCATAGTAATTCCTTCTTAGGGATCAAGCTTGGAGACGGATGGCAGAAAATCAGGCAAGACAATAGGGCAAAAATAACCAGAATGAAGGGCCCTGGGCATAAACCCAGGCTGGTGAACTGACCCAGTTCATTGTGGACAGCATTGAGGGTGAGAGAGAGAGAGTAGAATAGAGCCTGTTGATGAGTGGTTACACAAACTGTAGGGCTTTCTCCTCATTTAATGGATCCATGGTCTCTTGGACCTGCAAGAACCTAGAAAAACACAGTACCTACACAGTAGTATCCCTGAGAGCCTGGATGTAGTAGATGTCTTTACCCATATTCAGATCTCCCTTACTTCCTGATAATATGGAAAGCTATGATTCCTAAACCGTAGGCAGGGCTATATGACTAGTTCTGGCTAACAGAACACAAACAGGAATGCCATTGAGCTACTTACGGGATGAATGGCTAACAGCCTAAACCTGACCCTYCCACTCTTCCCCTTGTCTCTGTATCCCTGAGGATTACATATTAATGACATTATAAGCTGAAACCTCCTCCAGCCTGGGTTGTTGAGTGACTACACAGAGCACTGCTTTCCACTAAACTGTGGGATGTGTATTTTGTGATGAGAACTAAATATTTCTTATTTTAAGTTGCTGAAGATCTTTTTTTCCCCCCACATTGTTGACTTTCCTGTCCCAACTGAACTGATACACTTGACCCTATGCAAGGTCAAGTGGCAGAGCAGGAATTTAACTCCAAATCTCTCTAACTCCAGAGTCTGCATTATTATTTATTTTTTAAAAATATGTTTCCCTTAATTGTTGATAGACCTTTATTTTATTTATTTATACATGGTGCTGAGAATCCAACCCAGTGCCTCACACATGCAAGGCAAGTGCACTACCACTGAGCCACAGTCCCAGCCCTGCATTATTATTTCTAAATCATTCAGGTGTCTGGTGATAGGGGTCTTGGGAGCTGATTGGTTTTGAGGTGAGGAGACCAGCAGGGTTTTGTAAGGTTTCTGGAAAAAAATGTCTTTCTCTGGATCAGAGCTGCCAGGTTGGGCACGTGCTTTCATTCCTCATTGTTAGGTGGCTGAGAAAGGCAAAGAAGAATAATGAGATGCAGCTGAAAGTTGGTAATATCCCTGTTACCACTGAAACTCAAGTCATTTCCTCTCCGGAATGATAATGCATATTTATTTAATTTGTTCTCACAGGTCCATCTTGCTTCTTCTGGTGGTAAGCAGGCAGGCCAGGCATCAAGAAGTCATAATCATCAGGATGGGAAGTTATTAACCCGAAGCAGAGTCAAATGACAGCTGAGAATTAACATTCTGTTGGATGGAGTTACTCTGTGTCTTGTATCAAATCATGCCCCCCAAGTCTAGGCCTTGAATGGGCCTTGAGTAATAGGTGCTCTCCAAACTCCTGGGGACTGTCTAAGATCCACTGTGGTCCATCAGGCCAACTCTTAATTGAGCTGAATTCTTGCAGGAACTTTGTGAAGACTGAAGAGGACAAGAAAAGACTCTGGGTTTGCATTTCTGTTTTAGTCTCTTCCTGTATAACTTCCTGCTGAGAGCCATAGCCAAGTAGGAATGACATGGCATTCCTACTTGGCATTTTTGGTTGAAAGGTGACCCCAGCAAGCCATTGAGATGATAATGATTATGTTAAGATCTGCATTAATTTGGAGATTAGACCCCTGCTGTCTGCCTAGGCCAGCTACTTTGGAGCTCTCCCGGGAATCCAGGAGAGTTCCCATTGGTTGGGGAAATGTGGTAGGAGGGAATTCCGGAGGAGGGATTTCCTGTTGGAGGAGTGTATCCTGGGAGATGCGTGGTTCGGCATTTTTTCCCCCCGGGAGCGTGTGTGGAGTGTGCTGGTGGGGTTCAGGAATAAAGTTTGTTCCTGCTTCAGTGGCTCGTGATTTGTGCCCAGCCAGACTGCGGCAACTTCCCTGTAGCTGCATGCATCATGAAGCTTTGCACACTTGTGCCCTTTCACCACTCCTGGGATTATTAGTCCTCACGCGATGCTCTATAAGCCCTCTTAGTACAAAGTTGTGGTAAGAGATTTAATCAACAGAGGAAGTATAGCCTCAGCCTTAAACACAGCCTGGCTCAAAATCTCATAAAAATCCCACTCCTTTGGAGGCATTAGAACAGTGGAGAGGTTGTCAGTGGTGTGCTGGTAAATGTTTAACAACGGGCTCTTCAGGGCAGGGAGATTTTGTAAGGTTTCCCATTTCTGTGGTGGAAATGAGTTAAAATGTGACACCACTGAACATGGTCTTGAGAAGATATGTGCAGTAGCACATCATGATACAGTATTGCCACCACACACATAAACTAGAGATGAACAACTTCATAAGCATAGATGGTAGTCATATATAGTAAAATAAATAAGAAGTGGTGATTTCTTTGTGCTTGTCATTGATTTTAATATGATTTAATTAATTTATTTTTAACAATGTCAACATTTAACAACTAGTTTGCAATAGTTCTGTTCATTTACCTATTGTTTCTCATGAGTAGGAACATGGCAACTCCAGCACACTACTGCTCCTGGGTCCTTCTCAGTGTGTGCCTGTTTCTTGACAAGGTCCAGCTTATGCCATGACTACCTGGGCATCAAATGTAAAGACAGCTCCCCACTGAGACCTCCCCATGGCTACTTTTTTGGGCTTTCTGTCACATAGCTTCTCCATCTTCTTTTGTAAGCTTTCTGGACAAATGTCCTTCTCTGGATCAGAGCTACCAGGTTAGGCACGTGCTTTCATTCCTCGGTGAGAATCTAGGTTCCCACATCTCCATATTCTCTGTCCTTCATGTGCATGCATGCTCACTTTACTGTGAGCTGCCTCCGTGCTCCAGGCTGTCGAATTTTAACTGTGAGCTGGCTAACTCCTCTTGCCAGATCTTTATGCGCTGACATTATTCTTTCATTCAGTCTTGGAACAACCCTTCTAGATGAGTCTTGCTATTTCAGAGGAGGAAACTGTGGTTCAGAGAGGGGAAGTGACTTGCCTGCATCCCAGAAGTCACCTCTTCAGGGACATGCTGCCTTTGATATGCAAAGCGCGGGCAAACACCTCTACCCCTCARCTGGCTGCTGTTAGTTGTAGACTGGGTTTATTCAATTTAGGGAGGATCTGGAGCTCTTTTCTGCAAGGACTCCATCACAGGATCTCAGCAGAGGAACATTCAAATAGAAGAGCAGAGATGGAGTTGAGGTCAGCTGTGAGCCCCTAAGCATCTCTGACCCCATCTCTTTCCTGTAGAAGGTGGAGAT